TGCTTTCTGCTTGTGAATTATCGAACATGTGAAACCCTTGAGGGAAATCCCGTATCTTTGTCCTTCCCAAGGATTGTGGAAGAGGGGAAAAGGAAGGCTGTGACAAACTAGTCTCTCTGATTTAAGCAAATCCAACAAGCATGGCAGGGCATCAGCATTAGCCGAAAATGGTTGTATCTCATGGGCCTCAAGAACTAGGCTGTTGGTCATGTGACTCTAGATAACAGTCAAGACAAAGCTCCACCTTGGGAGTTTCTGTGGTAGATGGGCCAACGGTGGCCGGTGTGTAGTATGGAGGAGGGAAAGGGGCATCTATAGCTGATGCATCTTCAATGGTCTCCATTTTTCCTTCATTGTTAATAAAAATATCATGGGACCTGCAGGCTGGCATTTAGTCTGTGGGAACTTTTGCAAGGAGGGCAGGCCTCAGTTGATGATGAAAGTTTGGGGTTGGGGTTCAGTGCTAGGGATTCAATACTGTCTGCCTGCGCCATGTTAATGGGAGTGTCTCAGATGCAAGTCTCTGTATGCGGGTAACTTTTGTCTCACTGGTAGGGATGCATCTGAGTTTAAAGGTTGAGCTGCAAAGGAATAAAAGTAGCGCCCCTTTCTGCTTGTTTCTGAGAGACATAAAGCTAGGAAATAGTCTTATTTCTCTCTCTCTCTCACACACACACACTTTTTTTTGTCTTTTCCTTGCGTGGTGTTAACATCAGAAATACCAGGTTCTGGATTTCCCTGTTTTGTTGGAGGACTGGAGAACTAATGGGATTTTGACACCCCAAACAACCAGGCTGAGCAACTGAAGGGGGGAAGGAATTTTTAGTGATCTAAAACGCTCCGGTTTGTTAGTAGCGATTAAACTCTGACTCCTGACGTATGTGCTGCCTCTGAAAAATTCAATATGCCCATTCAACTGCTGAGTGACAGAACTCCAGTAAAAATAGGGAAGGCAAAACTGTTTTCTGGTTTCCTGTTGTTTTTAAGATTAAAAACAAGACGAGACAAAAACAACCATTGCTTTTCATGGGTTTTGGGGAGGGGGGTGTCATTGAGGTCATTTATATTCATATTATAGAGATCACAAGTGGAAGTAAAAGTATTTTGCTGTTCAGTTAATCTTTGAAATAGGTTGATGGGTTGATGTCTAGGTTGGCTGTCTTTCAGAATGGAAAGACCTTAACCCTTAGAGAACTGAGAGCTAGACATTTGGTGGTGCCAATAACATTCCTACTACTGAAGGAAACTGGCCATTCTTGAGGATCATTTCTCCTTCTGAACTAGAGCTCTGAAATAGGTTCAGATCTATTTTGGTGCAATTAACTATACAGATAAATTCCTTTCTAACCAGTATCTACTAGATCACACATTCAGTAACTAATCACCTTCAAGCTGCTTTACAGACTGACTAGCATGAATGTGCTACAGGTTAGAGAGTGATGCATGTTTCTGAGTTTGCAGTCTTCCCCTAACCTCCCCCCCCAAAAAATCTCTACACACACACACACACACTCTCTCTCTCTTCTGAGTTTGCAGTCTTCCCCTAACTCCCCCCCCCAAATCTCTCTCCAAACACACACATGCACACCCCCACGATGATATTTGCTTTAGTATTTGTTCTGTTAAAAATAGACACATGCCCACCTGCAAATGATTCTGCCTTACTGGGCTGGGACCAACTGGACATAAATTGAAAGTTTTAGGCAGTGTGTTAGCAGAACAATTTTCACCCCCCACCTCCAAAACAGTCTGCTGAAAATGGACCCCTTATAACTGCCATTCTCTTCCCTTACGCCTCTCTCCATCTGCAATTATTTATCTTAAGTCTTCAAGTTTCATTGCTCTTGATACCCCACCCCCCATCCTTGCTGTCTTGCCATTTCTGTCTTTGTCTCTGTCTTGCTCTGTGTGTCTCTTCCCTCCCTGCCAGGGCACGTGCTAATTTCTGGTATTCCCCTTCAGTGAAGGAGCACTCTCTCCCAGTTACAGAGCCGGTCCAGTGCAGTGACAAAGCAAAGGTTTTCATTGTGAAGAGGGAGAAGCAAAAAGCAATAATAAAATCTGAAGATCTTAGCTTAAGTCTCTTTCCAACTTTTGCCCCATATGGGTTCTTGTTTTTTGTTTTTGACCACACGCTACCATGAGCTATGTCCCTCTGTTTGAACAAGGCTGCTATCACCAGGCATGTCTTAGTAGCTGAGTTATGTGCTCTGTGGCCAATGTTCCCGCTAAGCTTTTCCATCCATATGTGGATTTTTTCCAGCTATGTGTACAATAATTTTGTATGTGCGCTGAGGCGTGTGCCAATGTGCACCACCACTGGGGGAAAAAACCCTAGCTGAGAGCACTGTGCTAATCAGCGGGGCGGCATTTGAATTTCTCCTGAGTGGCCGCACATGCGCTCAGCTTACGGGGAACACTGTCTGTGACTGCAAGGACTTGTTTTCTGTGGTCTAAGATGTGTAGCTCAGTTTGGGTGGCTCTGCAGCGCAAGAGGACACCACAGGTTTTATAGTGATAGAAACCCTGGCACTCGCTTTGCTAGGAAGCTGCAACCTGATGCCCCAGGGCGGAAGGATGGACAGTGGAAGCCTGATAAGACTTTTAATGAGCTTCCTTTTTTTCTGCATGCTAGATTCTAGCTCCGAGGAGGAAGAGGAGGAAGCAGAGGATTATGGGATGGACAGCAATGACAGGCTTTCGTCCCCAGCCCTGGATGAGAGCGGTTTGGGCCTGCTAGCGAGGTTTGCTGCTAGTGCTATGCCGAGCCCCATTGTTCCCCCTCCTCTTTCCATCGTCCAGCTGGAGGCCAAGCAGAAAGCTAAGAAGAAAGAAGAGCGACAGAATCTGATGGGTAAGTCACATGCGGGCGTGGATGGCAGCTGTCGGGGACCAGAAGAAGCAAATTCATGGGAGTAGAGGGTCCCTGTGCTGAACATGGTGGGGGGGAGTGGCAACCTTTGGCTGAGGAGCATGGATGGAAATATTGGCTCAAGGTTTTCATTCCGTGATGGCTTTTAAAGGGAGGGACCAGAACCTCCCCCCAGCACCCCGCTCCTGCATCTTGCTCCCCACACTGGAACACCCAACTGAAGCACCAGAGTTGAGGCTACAAGGGTTGTCTTACAGGGCCACCGCCCTTGGAGAGGGAGGTGGTGGCTTCAGTCCATCTGGCAGTGGCTGCTGGCCTGTGTGCCCGGATGTCAAGGCGTTGCAGAGGGAGCGCCAGCACGGTGGGGATTGCAAGCCAGTGTGTCAAGACTAAACCTGTGGCCTGGCAAAGTGCGTCCAGTTGTTTGCTGCTGGTCGCCTGCATCAGCGGCTTTCCTTGGGGCTTCTAAACTGACACGACCTGGCTTCCCTTGGGCGGGGCCCCCGAGTGGGGCGGATTGTCACCATCCTCTTTCTTTCTCCCCCGCCGCCCTCCCCAAGTTCTGCTGAGCCCCTGAGTGAAATGGCACTGAACATGCCACTTGGTATGGCAGTGGTGGGGGTGGGAGTAGAGGAGGGGAAAGCCATGTGGCTGTAATTAAGGGTGGGTCAGGGAGGTTTCCTGCAGAGCATGTGGGGCAAGGAGCCGTGTTTGTGCCTGCTAGAAGGGCCCCGTTACCTGTGCTCTGTGCTGCAGGCTACAGAAGTGCCTGGTTCACAACCCACTGAAGTCAGTGGAAAGTCTTCTGTGGAAAGCACGTCGCCAGAGTGGGTCCCGGCAAGGTTGTGGGATCGCAATGCAGGGCTGCCCCATTCGGATACACGTAGGCTACCCTGGGCAAGCAGCAAAGGCAACTGGAGGAAGCCCCATGCTGGCAGCAGACCACCTAAACCTTGAAGCAGCATTTCTCTGCCCAATAGTGTGTTCTTCAGGGTGCAGGACAGAGGAGAAGTTGGAACAAGGAAAGGTGCTGAACTCCCAGTTCACCTCCTCCCGGCCTCCCCTCCCTGTTCCCAGGGAAGCTCTGAATGCAGTCAGCATGGGAGCAGCTCACAAATAACAAGGCCACATTCCACCAGCCAAAGGCTCTCTCCTATTCTGCTTTCCTAGCAGCCATCTCAGCCGCGAGAACATGTACGACCTGGAGAGCCCGTCTCCCAGAGCTATCACCTTTCGCTTTCTTGTCCTGGTCTGTAATGGGGGAGAGCCACAAAATAAGAACATGGGGCGGGAGGAGACTTTAAAATAGGTGGGGAAGGATTATCTCCATTTTATAAATGAGGAAACTGAGGCAGGCAATGTACGTGATTTGTCCAAAGCCATAGAGGGAGTCATTAGACTGGGACTCAGGAGCTCCTTATGCTAGGATGTCCACTCAGATTGCTAGCACCCGTGTCTCTCTGTCCCTAGTCTCTCTGGTCTACGTTCATCTTTTCCTCCCCATGCACCGTGCTGCAAAAGGTACCCCAGGGTGACATCTTTCTCAGCCGTCAGCTCTATAAAGGTTCCATTTATAAACTCTTTATTAATATTTATTAAATGAGAATGGAAAAAGACATCTTTCCAGGGAGGCCTGCTTATTTTAGCACCGTTTCCATGCTATATTAGGCTTTCGCCAGCTTGTTCCAGTCACCTCCGTTAAGAATTTATAACAACTGCCTCTCGTAACCTGGCCCTGTTAAAACCCAGAGCATCTAGAACCTGTCTAATTTGTATGAATAAAAAGGAGAGTTAATGTCGTAACTATGAATGGATCCTTCATTTCAGGCATTGCCTGCTTTGTCTGATTTTGCCTAGCCCTCTTCCGAAGCATGTTTGCAATGTCTCACTGAGGAAGAGGGGAGGCAAAAAACGGTTTTTTAGCTAATGAAGGAGGGAGAAAAACAGAGTGTTTGACATTCTCTCACGTGCACAAACGGGGGGTAACTCTCATCCCAGTTTCATGCCCTGGAGAGCATCTTCATTCAAGGAAGTGACTGTTGTAAATCCAAGATCATGTATTTTTAATACAGTAGACTTCCGATAATCCGGAATCTATGGGATTTAGGTGGTGCTGGATTATCAGATATGCCGGACTATCAGGAGGTACTATAAGCAGGTTATATATATGCTGTATACATTATATACTGTATATAAAGTGTTCTTAACCCTTTTTATTGTACATACTGTATACAGTATACTGTAATGTTTTCGGTTTTTTAAGCTTTTTTTACCCTTCTTGCTCAGTTCAGCTGCTGCCGCTGTTACCTTGTGACTCATTTTTTGCCGAAGTTCACTCATTAGGCTCTTGCCATTTGGATGCCGGACTATTGGAGTTTTACTGTAGCTCCTTCCTGCAAACAAAATGTTGTGATGGGTTCAGTCAGAGACACGCACCCTCTTTTGCACTTGATGTGCTGAAATACCACTCGGCCCACTTACCTACCCTTAGGGGCACCCCACCCCCCTGTCCTGTAGAGCCAGGCACTCTGGCCGGGACGCAGAGCGAGGGTGACTGCCCTTTGCACTAGAACACAGACCCTGAGATCAGATCAGCTCTGGGAAGGCTCAGCCAAAGGGACTTGTTTCAGCACCCAAATGCACAGGCTCAGTGGGACCTGAACCCCAGATAAACCCACTGTATGAAGTTTTACAGAGGGTAAGCTCATGTTCGCCTTCTTTCTCAGGGTAAAGAGATGTGCCCAGTTGCTTGCCCCTTGTCCCCAGCTAACAATTACTTACACTGGGTTTGTTAATACACAAAGTGATTTTATTAAGTATAAAAGGTCTGATTTCAGTGGCCATAAGATCTAGTAGACAACAGTATAGGTTACTAAATAAAACTTTCAGTGGCCATAAGATCTAGTAGACAACAGTGTAGGTTACTAAATAAAATAAAACAAAACACACAAGCTAAGCCTAATATACCACATGGAATATCTTCACCCTCAGTTATTCTGCTAGGCTGTCTGGTCTGCTAGGCTGTCTGTCTGGTCTGCGAAAGAAACTTCCTAGTCTAGGCTCAAATCTTCCCCATATTCAGTCTTAGATGTTTACAGAAGCCATCTTGGGCCATCACCAGGGGGGCCTGCCATCTGGTAGCCGCTGCTATTGTTTGGCTTCCCACCTTTATATAGCTTTTGCCCAAGGCGGTAATCCTTTGTGTTAAATTTAAACCTTTCCCCTCACTTACAGTGGAAAAGCGCAGCATCCACTTTGGCCAGGTGTCTTGGTAGGATCAACCATAGCCCCTCTGTCCCAGGAAAAACTAGTCCATTTACAATTCATTGTTTTCTTGCCAAAGGGCCATCAAGATCCTGGAAGGCCATTAATGTCTCGCTTAGCTTGTCTGTTAGTAAAACAGGTTTATACCCTATATTTCTAACTTCAAACACAGGAATGATACGTGCATACAAATGGGGTAATCCTATTTAGTCGGCTCAGAGGGTAGCTGTGTTAGTCTGTGTCTGCAAAAACAATGAGGAGTCCTGTGGCACCTTAGAAGCATAAGCTTCCGTGGGTAAAACCCACTTCGTCAGATGAATTGGAGTGGAGGTTAGAGGCTGTGCGTGTGTATGGACAGCAGAAGAAAGATTACAAGCTTTCCAATGATACATTATATGAGGTATTTTGCATAAACCCTACTCCAGTTATGTCATATTCATATTCAAAAGCATGTTTCCATAAAGCCTATGGGATGCCCGGGACAAATGTACCACACAGATGCCAGTCGTTGTTAGCCCTGGGAAGGATTTGGGCCAAGCTTAGGTATGGACGGGTGTTGCCTATTTTGGCAAAGAGGGCAGGCAGGAATGAGTTTTGCCTTTGGCTCTCCAGGTGTGAAGTCGCAGCTCTGGTCTCTCGAGCCTGAAAATCGGTGGATGGATGCAGATATCCGTGACTCATTTTTGTGGATACAGATTTTGTATCCACCCAGATGTCTACTAGTCTCCTTCCCCCCAGGCAGCTGTATTTGTTGTTCTAAAGGCAAGGTGGAGCTCTCGCACCCCCACCATCTGTGAGATAGGCAGACTCGCGGAAATCCCTTGGGCATGTTTGTCAGAGGAGGAGAACTGCAGGCATTGAAGACATTTCCTTGTGGAGGGTTGAACTTTTAGCATCAAGAGAGGGAGGAACAGATGCATCAAGGCTAGGAGGTTATCTTAGCACTCGGGAAACCTGGGGTCAATTCTCTGCACTGTCACAGCATTCCTTGGTGACCCGGAGCCTGTCACTATAATGTCTCAGTACCTCCATTCCCCCTCTGTGCAATGGGGAGAATAGCACAGCCTGACATCACAGGGGGTTGTCAGGATGAATGCCTCAAAGTCTGTGAGGTACCTGGATACTGCGGGAGGGGGAGCCAGAAAGGACCTTAATCGGATCCTGTCTCAGATCTTTGCTGTGGTGCAGGCAGGAGGGGATTTCCACTCGCTAACAACGAGAGATCATTTACCTCGCTATAGACGGGTCCCTCAGCTCTCCCTGGCTAATCCGAAAACATCTCTTGAAGTCTGGGGAGTTTTTTTTAATTAATAAAACATTTCATCCAAATCCAATGGGCCAAGTGGATCTGTGTGAGGAGCCCGGCCATTAAATCAGTCAGCCTTAGCCAGGAGGAGTTTGCATTTCTTGTCAGCCATCAAACCCTTTCCTACCAAGCCCGGTCTGTAAAAAGAGTACAGGCTTTTCTGGGCAGGAGGGGAGAAAGTAGAGGTGGCGAGGACCCCACAGGCAGCAGTCTGGGAAGCTTGGATTGATACGTCTCTGGGGAGGTAGGGAATGGGGAAGTGATGGGAATGGTCATTAATTCGGAGCGATATTGTGTTGGTGGGTGCTTGTGGAGGTTGTTCCTTACTTGTAGCTGCTCACAGAGTTCTCAGCAGGACCGACTTGAGAAGGAGAATTCTCTTGTTTCTTCCTGGGAATTGGCGTCCATTTCCTGGTGTGGCTCCTTGCAATGAACGAGGGTGGATTTTCTTGAGGGGTTTGGCCATGCTCTGCAGAGCAAGTGTAAAGTCTGGCATCAACGCCAAAGGAGACTGGGTCAGATGCAGTCCACAGTTGATTGATGGCTCAATCCCCTTGCATTTAGGAACAGAGTTTGAATACACCGACTCGGAGAGCGAGATAAAGATCCGGAAGAAATCTCCCTCCGGGATGCTGCGTGGAAAGAAGGGGCTGATGGAACAAGGCAGCGCCACCCCTATCCCAGCAGCCAGCAGCATGGACCCCAACCCTGGGAGCACGGACAAAGTCAAAATTGGGGCAGAGAAAGGCCGGAAGCTGAAAAAATTCAAGTCTCCCAAGGACCTCAGCTTCGAGTTCGGGCTGGAGGCGAGTGATGACGACTTGTGGAACCGGCGCCGGAGCGAGCGCATCTTCCTCCATGACGCCAGCACTTCCTTGCCTGGGCCAATGCCCAGCACCCCAACCAGCTCCACCCCTGTTTCCAAGCCCAGCCGCTGCGGGAAGGGGGCGCCGCTGAGCCCCAAAAAGGAAGGGAGCAAAGGGAAGGAAAGGAAAGAGCTGAGCAAGGTAAGGGCCACTTTTCTGGGGTGGGGGGGCCGGGCAGGAAAGTGGGGCGGGGAGGTGAATTGCCTTGATCCTGGCACTTGAAAGGAGGTGAGTTTAATGGCTGTCTCATCTCAGCAGCTGGTTGCTGCTTCTTGGAAACCCGCTGCTCATAAAGAAGCTTCCTTTATCCACAGCTGTCCAGTGAAATGCTGCAACCAGGCCTGCCGACGGGTGGGCAAAAGGGACAGTGGCCCCAGGGCCTGGCGATTCAGAGGGGCCATAAGTTCCTGGCCACTGCCACTACTGCAGCCGTGGCTAATGGCTCTGACTATATCAGACCTTGGTTTAGGGATGCGGAGGGAGTTCCTGCCCCTGCTGAAAGGGTGGTAAAACTCCCACTGACTGCAGTGGGGCAGGGTCTAACCCCCTGGCTAGCCATGTAATCCTTTCTCTGCCCCACTGTAAAATGGGAGATTGGAAAATGTGCCCTGCCTCACCAGAGAAACCCAGTACTGCAGCAATACGGAAAACCTCCCCTGGTTAAACCCAGTACTGCAGCAATACGGAAAATTCCCCTCTCACCCCAAAACCTCCCCTGGTCTGGCTCTCTCTGCTTCCCTCACCCACCACATGGCCTTTTGAGCGCTTTCCCTTTCGCATAGCGATGTCCTAAATCTTTGTGTTGTCTGGGAACAGAAGTGAACCTCTCCCAATCACCGGCTAATTAGTTTGCTGAGGCATTAGGTTCCTTTGGCTCCAGTTGGGCCCATTGGCCGGTCACTAGGGAGACTGGATTACGGGAGGAATAAGACAAGTTGTGACACCACATCAGCAAGGGTCCTTTTCCAGCCGTTCTGGGGGAAGAATTGGTCGGCAGGAGGTGCCACCCGGGATAATGAAAAGCTCTCGATGGAATGTCTATGCTGTACGCAGAGAGGCAGTGAGAGCCTCTTGCAGTGCAAGCGTCTGGCAAGCTGCCCGCTTGCGCTCAGCCCCATAGGGACTGGCGTCTTTACTTTTGTCTCCGTTTCAATATGAAGTGCTGCACGCTCCTTTGCTCCATCTTTCCCTGTAACTGGGTAGTGAGCCTTACTGAGCAAGCCTTTTGATGGGTGGGCGTTGTTCTGTATTTGCTTTTAGCAGCGGAAGAAAGCTAAAGAGGCCCCTTGCTGCTCCTCCTCCTCTTCCATGTCTCCCCCTGGCATCTCCAGCCCCCCCTCCGATGCCCGAGTCAGCCTGGCCAACTCCCTGAGCTCCAGCAAGAAGAGTAAAGCCAAGGTGAAAGCAAAGGAAGTGAAGAAAGAGGTGAGGGTTGACTCCACAGATTGAAGTCAGGTTGTAGCAAGACAGTGGGGTGTTTGCTCCCTCCGTACACTGGGAGCGGGGGAAGACAGATGCACCCTTTTGGGAGCTGGGACATTTGTCGTACTGTCAAGTGCTCTCACTAATGGGACTGGGGCAGGCTGACATAGAAACTTGAACAAACACCCCTTCTGGGAAGATAGGCTTTGTTTTTTTAAGTTCTCCTCTTCTTGGGAAGCCTAAAGACTCAGATGAATGGAGAGCATCACCGTGGAGTGATTCTTCTAGGGCCTGAGGGAAGGTACGTCCTGGTGACAGTGCAGGGTGCTCAGGACGGAGTGGGCTTGCAAACCCAATTCTGCGTGTGAAGAACATGGCCCCATTCGGGCAGCATGGAGGGGTGTTGCTGGACCAGTGGACAAGAGTTCAAGACGGAGTGGGAGGGTGTGACTGAACTGCCACCCTCACCATGGAGTCCCACCTGTCCGGGTCCAGGTTTTGAGAGACACCGAGGGTACGTCTACACTAGCTCGTTAGTTCGAGCTAGGTAGGGTAATTAGGGCAAGCGGAGTTGCAAATGAAGCCCGGGATTTAAATATCCCAGGCTTCATTTGCATATTCCTGTGCACCGCCATTTTTAAATCCCCCTTAGTCAGAACTCCGTGCCCGCAGCTACACGCAGCACGGAGTAGGTAGTTCGAATTAAAGATCTTTCATTCGAATTAGGATCGAACTAACGAGCTAGTGTAGACGTACCCTGAGACTGTGGACCCTGCCACAGTAGCTTGCTTTCAGTACCTCGTCCAGTGTAGAGGCAGGCCAGTCCTACGGCTGTCTGGTTCTGTTCTGCATTCCCTTTAATGTCCAGACAGGTCCAGAAATGCAGCTAGAATGTACGAAAGGGCTCTCTGAGCCCTGGGCCCACTGACAGCCACAGTGAGGAACAAACATACCAAATAAAGCAAGGAAGCTCCCAAAAGGCGACTGGAACTTTGGGTGCAGCATTGGCAGGGCCGGCTGACTACGGTGGTTCACGCTGAGGCAGTCTGCCTCCTAATTGCCAGGTTGCTTACCCCAGGAAGGAGAATAGCAGGTATGGCACAGGGACATTGCACCTTGGCATCCCAGCACAGAACTGTCCACATCTAATGGGTCACTTAGAGCTTGTCTATACTTACCAGAGAGCGAAGCTCTGGAGATCAATCTCCCGGGGGTTTGATTTAGTGAGTCTAGTAAAGACCCACTAAATCAACTGCTGATCGTGTCCCTGGTGAGTCACGAGGAGTAAGGGAAGTCAACGGAACAAACTCTCCCGTCGACCTCCTGCAGGGGAAATGCTGCAGAAATTCAATTTAAGGTACGCCAACTCCAGCTATGCTATTCTCATAGCTAGAGTTGTGTCTCTTAAGTCGACTTTCTCCCATAGTGTAGACCTGGCCTTAGGAAGGAAACTTCAGAGCTGGGAAGGAGGGTTTTTAAAATGGCTCCTAAGCCCCGAGGCTCCATGCCAGACGTGACCGAGTTTTCTGATGTGCTCGTTTGTTTCCTTCTCCAGAACCGAGGGAAGGGCGGGGCCGTCAGCAAACTGATGGAAAGCATGGCAGCTGAAGAGGACTTTGAGCCCAATCAAGACAGTAGCTTCTCAGAGGATGAGAATCTGCCCCTGAGCATGCTTGTAGAGCGGCCGCCTACCCCAGGTGAGAGCAGGAGGCTGTAGCTGTTGGGGGAGAGGAAGCTTTATCTGAGCATGCCTGGCGTTTCTGCTGCAGTGGGTGGGAGAATTGGATGGGATTTTCCCAGCTGGATAAAGAGCAGCCAGCTCAGTTATACAGGGGATGCTGCTCTGCTCTGAGGCTAGGTAGGAGCAGAGCTCTCATTAGTGTGCCCTGAATCCCCAAGCGCTGGGCCTGCAGTCCCTAAGGAGGGCTGTGCTTACTAGCAGTCAGAGCAAAGGGCTGGGTCCCAGGAGGGCTGTGAGTTCTAGTCCCCATTTGAACCACTGACCAATATTTTGGCTCCCAGCAAGTTTCTTGATCTTCCTTGTGCCTCAGTGAGTGCAGTGGCAAAGCTGGGTCAGTAGCAGGGCTGCGTGGAGAATCAGGCAGGGTCTCCAAGCTGCATTCACCTGGGAATAGGATGATGATCATACAGACCCCTCTCTTTGGGTTCTCTGCCTTTGCCCGGCTGGAGATCAGGGACGGCTTGTTGTGTTCCATGTGTTAGCCCCTAGTTGGTTTCTACCGGCATAAGGAACCATGAGCCTCACATGGGTCGCCACCAATAAAGAGCTGCCATTTATTCCTTTAAAGCACCCTAGAGGTTTCTAGGTAAAGACCAGTCTCTGCGAGGGGCCGGGGTTCGGCTGACCTGTTGGTATTATGATGGTGTCACAGACCTGCCAGAGGGCCAGCTGAGAATAGGACCTTGTTATGCTGGGAGCTGTATGAAGAAAGACAACCCATACCCCAAACAGCTGGCAGTCTGAGGCTGATGGGGGTGGGGTGTTTGGAAGTTGTGGCAAGGCCTTTCCTGGGTCTTCTCTCACTCTACGTGTGTCTAGACTACAGGGATTTCTCGAAAAAAGTGGCAAGGCCTTTCCTGGGTCTTCTCTCACCCTACGTGTGTTTAGACTACAGGGATTTCTCGAAAAACGTTGTCTAGATTGCTGCCGTGTTCTTTCGAAAGTAAATCGAAAGAACGCGGCAGTTTTTTCGACCGCGGAAAACCTCGTTTTACAAGGAATAACACCTTTTTTCGAAAGAGAGCATCCAGACTGCCTGGGTGCTCTCTTTCGAAAAAGCAACTCGCTTTTTCCAAAGTCCTGGTTGTAGTCTAGACGCTCTTTTCCGAAAGAGGCTTGCAGTCTAGCCGTAGCCCCAGTGAGCTCTGCCCCTTTCTGTTGTGAATGGAGCCGCTAACTCCCATGTCTTGCTCCATGGCCCTGCAGCCCCCCGCTCCTGTATCATTGACAAGGATGAGCTGAAGGATGGGCTGCGTGTCCTCATTCCCATGGATGACAAGCTGCTCTATGCCGGACACGTGAAGACCGTGCACTCTCCTGACATGTGAGTAAAAGGGCAGCCTCTCCCAGATGAACCCTGCTATGGTGGAGGGGAGGGGTCGCACACGCTTCGAGGCTCCCACAGGGCTGCATGTACGCACAGGGCTGCTGCCTTGTCCTTCAGGCACAGTGGAATCTGCTCAGTACTTTCTGGGACCTGGTGGGTGAGCCAGCACCCCCTGATTCTGCACCAAGCAAGCTGAGTACTGGTGAGATGCAGGTGTCTAAGAGCTGCAAGGTTGGAGGGTAGCCGCTGAGTTTGGCTGGGTGGAGGAATTCACCATAATGAGCCACCTTCGTTAACCAGTGAATTTCTCAGCTGGGAAAATGCAGCCTCCCTTTAAATGGCATCTGGGGACTGTGAGGTGTAAGACGACAGTGCCTGGCAAAGATACGACAGCGGGGAAGGAGCCGCAGCCCAGGGAAGGGCCACAGGGTCGCGCGGGGTCCTTCTTAAGAAGCGTTGATCTCTCATGATGCTTGTGATTTCAGATACCGAGTGGTGGTGGAAGGGGAGAGGGGAAATCGCCCCCATATCTATTGTCTGGAGCAGCTGCTGCAGGAAGCAGTAAGTCGGGCTGTTTGACTCTCCATATGCGGACTGTGACGTTCATATCTGGGCTGGGGGAGGCAAAAGGAAAATCCCTCCTGTCTGGTGGGTAGTGGCGGGTTGCAGCAGTACCCCCAAATCCTACCCCTTGTACCGCATCTGGTTGGAGAGGGTACCAGATGGATTGTTATTCCCGTCCCAGCATGTAGATTCAGCCTCCCGTCGCTGGCATTGGGCTAACGCCCCAGGGCCGAAGGCTCAACCCTGTTCTGCCAGGGACGGTACAGGTTGAACCTCTGTAGCCTGGGACTCTCTGGTCCAGCAATACCTCTGGTCTGGCATCCTCGGGGACTCCCTGGGGTCTCTGGGGTTGGAGCAGTCAGGGGGGAAAACTGTGGCAGCAGGACCACTCATGTTGCTGGACCAGAGAGCCCCAGTGGCCGGATGTAGAACCTGTTGGCGGGGGGGCCAACCAGGAGTGGGGGCTGGTGGCGTGGAGGTCTGGGAGCTGGGGCCGGCAGCTGGTGAGGGCTAGTGGATTCCCAGGAGCAGAGCAGAGGGGCCAGTCTTGCCCTCCCCTGATCCGGCAAACTCCCTGGTTCAGGACTGGTCAGGTCCCGAGGGTGCCGGACCAGGGAGGTCCAACATCGGTGCTGCACTGCATTGTATCACGTGGAGAAATGTGCCCCTTTGCTTTGCTGTAGCAGTCTCCCCTTCCCACTCTACAGCCTTCAGCAGCTGCACCTTTGACTCCTGGGGGAAGGGGGAAGTGCAGCCGGGCCTGGCTCAGTCCTGCCTGAGGAGGGCTCAACAATGCCCATTGGCAGCCAGTCTCCTGAAACACTAGTGGGCAGGGGGAGGGGGGGACAGGAGAGCAGGAAGGCTTTGGATGGGTTAGTAAGTTGCTGTCCCACCCCAAACAGATTATTGACGTGAAGCCGCCCTCCGTGAGGTTCCTGCCTGAAGGCACAAGGATTGCTGCCTACTGGAGCCAGCAGTACCGCTGCCTCTACCCAGGGACTGTGGTCCGAGGTGAGAACGTCCCTCAGACGCGCACAAGCCAGAAGCGTCTTAGCACACAACTTGACGGCTCAGTGGGATAGTACAGTGCAGCCCCACAACCTGGCAGGGTAGCCCTGTGGTGCCAGATTCCTTCCTTGGAGTAGTGCCTGCTGAGTTTTCGGCAGAGGTTTAAGGTGCTTAAATACCATAGAATTCAACAGACGATGGAAGGGGGGGATTTCAAAAGCCTGTAAGGGAGGTAGGAGTCTAACTCCAAGTGACTTCCCAGAGGTTTAGGTTTCTACGTCAGACGGGTACTTTGAAAATTGTACCCTGAATATGCCTGACTCCGTTCGGCCTCTTTGAGGATCTTAGTTTGAAAATTGTACCCTGAATATGCCTGACTCCATTTGGCCTCTTTGGGGATCTTAGCTGTAAAGAGCGCCTGTAAAGAGCGCAGCGAGAAGAGCTGTGAGCGGCTCCCGACTGACTGCAAAGCGCTTTCTCCTTCCGTACAACGCCCTCGTCACGTGGTTTCATGTCGATTGGCTTGGAAAGTGGCCGTCGGCGAAGAAGCTGCCAGTTGGGATGCTAGTATCAGTGACACGATGGCTCTAGGAGGGCAAGACGCCGAGTTAAAAAAGGGGGCTGCACACGGTTAACAGACTGGGGAGATTGATCCAAGGAGAGATGGATGAAATAGCGATTCTGTCCCGGGGTGGGACGATGAATAAGAGGCAGCCGATGCTAGCAGAATGCATTGGACAGGCAGGAACCAAGGGGCATCCGTGCACAGGAAGAGTGAATCTGTGTGAGAAGAGAATTGGGGGGTAGAATCATGTAGTCATCCCGTGGGTAAGCACTTGGGAGGACTGTTGAAAGGGAAGTTTTGTGCTTGAAGGTGGGGCATGTGATTGGACCACAGGCTGTTTGCCCCACGTGGGTCTGGTTTAGTAGCAGGTTCTGAACTGGCCCTGCCTCTCACCATCATAACTTTCAAGTGTCAGAACTCTCCATTCTGCAGCTCCTGCTACGTGTGTGCCTAATCCTCTCTCCTTCATCTCTTTCCCCCCAAACCACAGGGGCCCTGGATCTGGAGGAGGATGGGGATCTGATAACAGTGGAATTTGATGATGGAGACACTGGCCGGATTCCCCTGTCTCATATCCGGCTCCTACCCCCGGATTACAAGATCCAGTGTAAGTCTGGACTCCTGAATTGGGTTCTTCTGGGATGTATCCCTCAGAATCCTGGTCTTTTTGCCCATGAGACGCTAGCAGTTTCCTTTTAAGGCTGCTCCTAGGCTAAGGAACTATCCTGTAAGATTCCAAGGATCGTTCACAGCTGTTCCAGGATTGTGTCCTAAGATATCTGCATGTGGATCAGGACTGAGCTTTCTAAGGCTGGGGAGTTGGGAGGAGAACTGATTTGGGGGTGATGGGGTGAATCCCTGTCTGCCCAGTGTTAGTAAGGTAGCAGTTTCCCAGTAGCACTTAATGTGCATCCCTCATAGGCATAGTGTGGTCCCAGGAAAAATCTGGGGACAGCAACATGCTCCTTTAATGGCTTCTGCTGAGAATCCAGACCTCCAGTTTTGGCTATGGGGTGGTTTTAGTTTGGCTTTCGTAGCAGGCAGGCTTGCTGCTAACCATCTGCGTGACTGGACGTTACAGGTGCCGAGCCCTCCCCGGCCCTCTTGGTGCCCAGTACAAAGCGCCGCAGCCGAAAGTCCAGCAAGGATGCTGGGGATGGAAAAGAGAGCAGCACACTAGGGTCAGAGGAGCCAGTGGCCAAGGGCAAAGGCCGTGGGAGAAAGCCAAGCATCAAGCTGAAAGCTGGTATGTTGATTCGCCCTATTTTATTACACAGTCCAGTGTGTCCTTGCACCAGCTGTTAATCCAGTAGTTCTCCAAACACACCCACCTCCACTAGTCCAGGTCTGAACCTGGTCTTTTCTGCTCAACTTCCTAATCTTCATCCTTCCCTAGAAGCAGTGTTCCCTGTAAGCTGATCACTTGGGCAGCCATCCAGGAGAGATTCAGGTGCTGCCCAGATGATTAGCAGAGCGCCCACAGCTGGCAGCATGTGTTTCTGTTGGTGGTGCACATCTGCACATGCTGTGGTGCATGAAACAAAATTTATTCTGCTCGTGGATGGAACATATTAGAGGCAACATTGCCTAGAAGGCTGCTTCCATCCAGCACTGTGACCCAAAGTGTCCAGCGGCTGCTGGGTTTCTCACCCTCTCACAGGAGTTTGTTAAAGAGCTAGTTATTTACCAGCAGGGCTATTGAATTCAGTGCTGCAAGCCAGGTTTGGAGACTCCGTTTTCTCAGTGGAGCATCTGTGGGGATGCGCCTCCATCTCGTGCTGGGAGGGTGCGCGTGTTCCTAGCAGCAGGGAGCGCGCTGCACCCGTGGGGAGCTGGAGCCCCTGCCAGGGCTACGCTTGTAAAGGAGGAAAAGGGGCTGCAACATTGCAGCTGCTCCTCTCTGCGGATGCAGCCGGTGAGTCTCCCAGTGTGTCCGCAACAAGGGGCTGAGCTGGCGTCTGCTGTGCCCTCCAGTGGCTAAGGCTGCCCTCTCAGTGCTGCTCGTAGGCCACAAGAAGTGTCATGAGGTCGGCTCGCGCCATGGCCCACGCCACCCGTAGTAGCTTAATATGCCACAGAATGAGCTGGTATCTCAGCTTAAGGCGAGGTGTCAGCAGCAGTAAGTGCAGCGTAGATCAGTGAGACCGTGTGTTCTCAGCCCGGTTTGCGCTAGAGGCAACCCCTCGTGCGCCCTCTCGATAGTGATCAGCAGTTCACTGGTGTCCGCTTCAGATCTGCAGGCTTGTAGGATTTATTAAGTCCACAGAAAGGGCCCTGCTAAGATGGCCACTTGCGGGAGTGAACAGTGGGGTAAAAAAGCAAGCCCCCTCCCCACTGCCTCAACTTCCGCGTTACGTGCCAGGAATATTCAGCCGCTGGTGTGACTTGAGGGAGCCCATCCCGGCTTACTGAACGTGTCCGGGGGGTAATATTTGCATCGCTCAGTCTAACTACTTTCTCTTCCTTTCCAGAAGAAGCAGTCCTGCCGGAAGAGACGAACCAGGCAGATCCCACAGCGAGCAACCCTTCTGTTCCAGAGACGACAGTCTGCCTCAGCAAGCAAAGCGTGAAGGGGTCAAGGAAAAGCCAGCAGAATCCTGCGGGGGGTTCTCCCACCCCCACGGAGGAAAAGCGGAATAAAGCCGGCAAAATGAAGATCTCTGCGAAACTCCATAGCCCACCTCAGCCTTCTTTTCAGCCCCCAGTGTTCAGCAATGTTCTTGGACCAGAGCCCTATAGTGAGCTCCCGGGGACACTGGGACCCTTCAGTGCCAGTGACAACCCCTCTGGGAAAACCAAAGCCAAGAAGGGAAGGCCTGCCGAGGAGTCGCCGGAGTTTGCTTCCACAGCCAAGGCCCAGAGAAAGCAACTGGACAATGAAATCCTCATCAAGCTGGACCACGAAGGGGTGATGTCTCCAAAGACCAAGAAAACAAAGGAGGCCATGAGGATGCTGGAGGATTCAAACCTGACCAGCAGGAGGGACGGCAAGAGTGTCGTGGGGCTGGGCTACTCCACCGCGTTGGGCAGCGAAGCCAAGCAGAAATCTTCAAGAGCTAAAGCCGCGGAAGGGGACGCTCCAGCTTCTAATTTCGGAGGCAAGGATCCGGAAGTCAAAACCACCGCCGCTGCGGCAGCGGAGGAGTCTGAAAGTAACAGCAGCGGCAGCAGCTCGGAGTCTGAGGGCGAGGAGGAAGCTGAGAAGAACGGAGGCGAAGCCCAGGACAGCAGCTCAACCAGTTCCAGAGCGTCCACCCCCGTGTCTTCCTCTAATTCCTCCTCTTCCTCCTCCTCTTCCAGCAGTAGCAGCTCCTCTTCATCCTCTTCCTCATCCTCGTCATCAGCATCGTCCACCTCCTCGTCATCGAGCTCCAGTTCCTCCTCCTCTTCCACCACAGACGAAGACTCCTCTTGTAGCTCAGACGAGGAGACCGCTGAAGCCCAGCCGAGCTCCTCAGTCCAGCAGGCTCTCGCTCCGAAGCAGACCAAGCAGGCGGGAAAGTCCCGCGTGTCTTCACACCCTCAAGGCCAGAAGCAGCAGCAGCAGCAGCCACCGCAGCAGCAGCCACCGCAGCAGCAACAGCAGAAGCAGCCACAGCAGGCCAGCAACAAGAGCAGGCCCAAAAAGCGGGAGGGAATCCATCTTCCCACCACCAAGGAGCTTGCCAAACGGCAGAGGCTGCCCTCGGTGGAAAACAGACCCAAGATCGCCGCTTTCCTCCCTGCACGGCAGCTTTGGAAGTGGTTTGGCAAACCCACCCAGGTGAGCACAGCCCTCCGGCTCGTTCTTTTGGTGCTTGCTCTCTCTATTTTCATAATCCCCGCCACCTTTCCACTCTGCCTCCTTTCCTGCCCAACCAGCTGTTTCATCCCCACCTTCTTCCTGCTGGCAAAGGTGTCCCCAGTGGTGAGGTTTGGTGTGTTCCCCACCTGGTCTGTAACCAGGGTTATTCCAAGCAGGAAGGAAGAAGCTCAAAGAAGTTTTAGGCAGATTTACAAGAGACCCCCCGGAAAGACCCTCCAGCGACAGCTGCAGTGCTTCTGTTGGGACTGCCTAGCCCGCCGTCTATGAGCATCGGCACCTAGGTGTCCTGAAACTATAAAGAGAGCAGCTATCTTTTGGTGGGTTGAGATCTTCAGGTTCGGTTTTGTTGCTTGGAATCACAGAATCATAGAATCCCAGACCTGGAAGGGACCTCAAAAGGTCGTCAAGTCCAGTCCCCTGCATTCACCAAGCACCGTCCATTCTAGATCATCCCTAAAAGGTGTTTAACCTACTTTTAAATATCTCCAATGATGGGGATTTCACAACCTCCCTAGGCAATTTATTCCAGTGTTTAACCACCCTGACAGTTAAGAAGTTTTTCCTAATATCCAACCTAAACCTCCCTTGCTGCAATTTAAGCCCATTGCTTCTTGTCCTATCCTCAGAAGTTAAGGAGAACAATTTTTCTTCCTCCTCCTTGTGACACCCTTTTAGGCATTGGAAAGCTGTTACCATGTTCCCTCAGTCTTCTCTTTTCTAAACTAAACAAGGCCAATTCTTTCAGCCTTCCCTCGTAACTCATGTTTTCTAGGCCTTCAGTCATTTTTGTTGCTTTTTTCTGGACCTTCTCCAATTTCTCCACACCTTTCCTGAAATGTGGTGCCCAGAACTGGACACAATGCTCCAGTTGTTTCTGGAGGAGCAGGTACCCCACTGAAATACGGTCTTTATGTACTTCCCACTCCCTTCTCAATTAGGGGTCCTCAGATCACCCTTTAACTGTTTTATTAGTTGCTGTGTCACTTGCACTCTGGCAAGCAAGGGATAAATACCTGCCACCATTTCTGTTCTGTTAGCCAGTAGGGGCTGCTTAAAAGGGGGAGGTCGGACTCAGTGTCTCGTCCAAGGTCACATGCCTCATCTGGAGCCTCTCACCAGAGCGGTGTCCTCAGGTTGCTTTGCCATTCCATTTGGCTGACCGTTGTTGCTCTGATTATCCATAGAGGGATGCAGGCAGGGGAGAGCAAGCTGTGCCGGAGCGGGCGAGGGGGACGTGTGAGACTGGCTTGCACCTGATACTCTGTTTGCTCAGCTTTGCGCTCCTCATTCCCACAGAGACGAGGCATGAAAGGGAAGGCCAGGAAGCTGTTCTACAAGGCCATTGTCCGGGGCAAGGAGATCATCCGGATTGGAGACTGCGCTGTCTTCTTATCAGCTGGCCGGCCCAACCTGCCTTACATTGGCCGGATCCAGAGCATGTGGGAGTCCTGGGGGAACAACATGGTAGTCAGGGTCAAGTGGTTTTACCACCCAGAGGAAACCAACCCCGGCAAAAAGCTCAACGAAGGCAAGGTACGTCGACCGAATGCTGCCCACCCTGGGAATGGTGGTGCTGCAAAGCTCTCCTCATGCCTCATCACTGCACAGGAGTGAGGTGGCTTCCACTGGTCTTTATGAAGTGCAAAATATAGATTTGGTTCCATTTGATCAGTAACGGGCAGGCATGTCGATTGTGTGCGATCCGGGCTGTCGGTGCACGGGCACGCCTGGGGGGTTTCTAAAGTCCCTTGAGGAGGGAGAGGTGGTTTTTACACTTCTAAATTACCACTGGGAAACACAAGCAGCAGCCTTTTGCAGGAGCCCATCAAACGTCTGTTTGTCTCCCCGGTGCGCAGAGCAAAGCGGTTGATTCCTGCCGTCTGCTATGCGAAGGGGGGAGGAAGCTTCGTTGCACGGGAAGGCTGCGGGTCTGATGTTCAGGAGTGCTGTGCGCCCACAGCTCTCATTGACATTGCTGGGAGTTCCTACTGCTTGGCTGCTCTAAAGAATGGTTCCCAAACTGGGGGGGTATGCCATGAAGAAATTCCAGGGGGAGGTGCGAGGTGGCTCAGCCTCCTCCCCGATCAAGTTTTGCTACCCTATTTATTTCCCCTTTTTTTTTTTTCCTTTCCCTCAACAAGTTTTGCTGCTGTTTTGGGGGGGCAGGCGTGAGGGTTTTTCAAAAATCAAAAAGGGGGCATGATGCCCAAAAGTTTGAGAACCACTGCTCTAAAGATTGGCTCTGTTTATGCTGATGATGACTCAAGCCCAAGTTGTAAGCTGAGGGGATGCACATCTTTATCTAGCAAAGGAGAAGCCTTTGAAAATTGCCTGCTTTAATTTGTCTCCCTCTCCATTTTTCCTTCTTGGCATAGCGTTGGGATCAGAAATCTGGGCGGAGCTTATCTGCTGCTCTGCAGGCCTCCAACCAGCGGAAGGACTTCATGGAGGTAAGACAGGGATGCAGAAGGCCAGGCCTTGGAGAAGGTTTTATGACGTGCTGTTGACTGCTCCGATGTTTATAAGTGGAGCAAAAAGTGTTAACAAGGGAAAGGCCATCGGATTGGATCTGGTGATTCAGTGCCAAGATGAACCTCAGCCTCAAAGGCCACAGGTTTGGCAGAGCATTTTACAGAGGGGGAAGAGCCTGCAACGGTCCATTTGTAAACATCCCCAGATTTCAGTGGTGGTCGGCAGCAGGGTTGTCGTTCAGACCCATCGGTGGTCAGCTTCATTTAAATTCTGGCAAAATGACACCTGGTTGATTCTGAGGCTCACAGAGAAGCTGAGAAACGTGCAAAGACCAAGTCACCAGATTGGGTTGAAACTGGGGGAAATATGCTGTGAAACTTTTCGCCACGTTCCATTCCGTGCTCTGTCTGCCTGTGGGGATGTAGCAAATAAAATCTGAGGGGTCACCTCGTGCATCCCATCATATTCACACCCTCTGTGTAGCTCTCCCGTCCTTCCATGGCAAAAACACCTAATCTGTGGGGAAGGAGTGTATTCTAAGTGCTGTAAAGTGATCGCTAATGACGCTCTTTCTCTCTCCCCTCCTCTTCCCCTCTCCTTTAATGCAGAGAGCACTGTACCAGTCCTCTCACGTGGATGAAAACGATGTCCAGACCATTTCTCACAAGTGTTTGGTGGTTGGTCTCGACCAGTACGAGCAGATGCTAAAGACCAAGAAATACCAGGACAGCGAGGATCTTTACTACCTAGCAGGGACGTATGAGCCCACTACAGGCATGATTTTCAATACAGATGGCGTCCCAGTCATCTGCTGACTGTGTAGGAAGCAGGAATTCAGGGACATGTGCCATGCACCTGGAGAGTCCTGATTTCGCTTTGGAAGAGGAGCACGGCCAATCTGAGGATGCACCTCATCAGACATGATTTATTCCTGCTCGTGACTTCTGTGTCGCACTAAGGACAGTCTTTGAAAAGAGAAGAGACAAAGGGTAGGGAGGAATCAAGCACAGGACTTTCAGAAGATGCCTTTGGGATGGCATTGGCGAGTGGATCCCATCCTTTTCAAGATGGGATCAAGAATCAGATGGTTTTAATGAAGGCAAAATGAACCAGCTTCTCCCTTCTGCTCCTGGACAGTCGATGATTCTCAGATCCCTGCACAGTGGATAACATCAAACCAGAAACCCTGGCAGCAGAGGCGGCTGCTTTTGTTGTGCTTGACCCCCTAAAAAATTCAGATGGTGACAGAAGAACATCTACGAGCCCTCAGGGTATCTGCACCTACTTGGCTCCTTCCTCGCCAACTGCACGTGACTTCCTGGGAAGTTTGAAGTGGAAGAGAAAGGAGCCTTATCTCTAAGCACCTCTGCTCAAACAGGGGGGGCACCTTTCGTCCACTTCCCTTCCTCTTAAGTCTGCTGCCTGGGACCTAATAGAGAGGGTGACAGAAGAACATCTACGAGCCCTCAGGGTATCTGCACCTACTTGGCTCCTTCCTCGCCAACTGCACGTGACTTCCTGGGAAGTTTGAAGTGGAAGAGAAAGGAGCCTTATCTCTAAGCACCTCTGCTCAAACAGGGGGGGCACCTTTCGTCCACTTCCCTTCCTCTTAAGTCTGCTGCCTGGGACCTAATAGAGAGCTAACGCGACTGGACAGCCAAGCAGTTCCTTTCTGGAGAGGAGCGGAGGAGGAGAGAAGAGAATCTCAGAAGCTGCATTCGTCTGCCCTTATCTCTCACTGAACAAATGGATTCACTCCGTAGATTCATCCAAGAACTCAAGAGAATGTCTGTGATGGGGGGATAGGGAGGAAGGGGAGGGCTCTCATCCAAAAGGGAGGATACAGGGTGGAATGTAACGAACAAAAATCTCCCTTCAGGAGGTGAAACACCTGGGGAAGTTGCTACAACCTGCTCACGAACGAGGAAGCCACTTCTGGTGGCTTGAAGGAGGCCATAGTCCATCACAGACACACAGCACCTTGGATTTCACACAGTGCTGCGGGGCTGCATGCTCCCGGGCAGAGAGGATCCTGATGTTCAAGCAGAAGTGCACGCTCAAAGGGATGAAAGCGAACTACTCCCGGCAGTGTCGATGCAGGTGATGCATGGTGCATTTCCACAGTAGGGAGCCAGAACCTAGCTGTCGTCAGGAGCAGGCATTCAGCTTAGTGGATCTCCGTGGCCCCTTGAGAGCAGTCAGTCTCCCTCCTCCAAAAAGCCGACCTACCTATCTCGTTCATCTGTCACAGGCCAGAGCCTTCCGCTTTGGCCATTTGCCTTCAAGCAGCTGCACCAGGGAGTCAGGTTTGCGATCCGGAGCGCCAGTACACAGCCTGGCTCTCGGGCAGCTTGCAGGGAGCCAGGGGAGTGGAGCCTAACAACACAACAGCGCAATGTCCTTGCACTTAACTGCAATCTCAAAAGATGCACTGATCCTTGCAACGAACCGATTCGCACTACATATTTCTAGGACACCGAGAGATCCAGCTTGGATCGGAGCAGAGCGACCAACCCAGAGCTCCAGGGGAGAGACTTACAAGGACAGATTTTTAGCTATCTGCCATGGTACTATCTGAGTACTAGAAACTTGCAGCCTCTATGGGAAGGGCAGAGGGGCACCCCCTAAAAGATGATCCCTCATACTTTAAAAGAACCACAATGGTGCTGAATTCCGGCCACCTCTGCTCCAGCCAGTGGCTCGCCAAGACTTGGTGGATATTAATGTTTCTACGCTGTACAGTTTTAATGTACCAAAAGACTCTTTAAGCCCGTCTGTATTATAAGTCTTTAAATGGATTCA